TTCTTATTTACTGTAAACCTGCTCTGTAAACTGTAATATTCTTGGCAATAATCTCAACAAGTCAATTAGACATCTAGGCATGCTTTTCTAGCAAACTTAACAAATATTGATCATATTTCATTATCTAACATTCATATAATTTCCATGCTTCTCAAATAAGTATCCAAAACCAACACTCAACATTTTCCTTCACTGTAAACATTCACAAACAACATCTTCTATCACATAAAGCTCAATTCTACTCCAAATTCCATGAAATTACTTTCTAAACGTGCGTCGTGACGGCCCCGAATGTCCGAGCCTCAAGGGCCCGCCAGTCCCGGTCCGAAACGACACGTAGCTGAGCCACAAGGGCCCGACCACTGCACAGCTCCTGCTTAGCGGGGCTTGAGGAGCCCTGCCGCCTGGAGCCGCCAAGCGGGGGCCTAGGGTCACGGCTCTTGCCTAGAGCCATGCCCTAGGGCCACTCCTCCACGGCCCTAGCCAACGACTCCTCCCAAGGGTCGTTGGCTAGATCCGTGCCTCATCTGGTGCACACTATGTTGTGCACCAGTGAGCTTCTTCTTCCCATGTAATGCAATATCAAGCAAATAAACACTCCCAAATCATCAACAACACACCATAGCTCAACAATAGATTATTTACTAGCTCAAACACACATTATTTTAGCATTTCTACTTATTTCAAGCACAGAACAATGACTTCACAGAGTCTAAAATAGCTTTGGGAGTCCATGGGGTTATACCTTTGTAGACTTCTTCTCTTAGCTGGAATTTCACCTTCTTCCCAAGCTAGTTACACCCTCCTAACATCTCAAACAAACCACACAACCACTTACTACCAAGTTCTTAGAGAATAAAGCTAGAAGGAGTAAGATTGGAAGGGAGAAAAATGAATGGATGGAAATGAAGGCTAAAACCTTATTGTGATGTTTCTTGTTCTTGCAGAGCTCAAAAATGTGGGAAGCAAAAAGTGGAATCATGAGGCAAATGTCTGATATTGTTCTTATTTATAGAGGCACAAAACCCTAGGGTGATCTCTCATGATTGGTGGAGGGCAAAAGTGTAAAGGCTTGGCTAGAAAGTTGCATCAGACAAGCTCTTAGAGTGGTGTGGTTCACCATACTTCATGGATCATGGTCCAAAATCAGGATTTAAAATAGTTTGGGGTTGAAATTGAATTTCTCAAAAATGATTTCTAGATAGACACTTGATTTAGGCTTCTTAGATTTCTCTCGATTTCACTCAGATTGAATTTTCAGTTCAAAACTTGGCACGCAATGTACCCGAGAATTTAGGATTTTTGTTTCAAATCATGTTTCGGTGTTGAATTTATTTAAAAATGGCTCAAAATATTTTATTCTAACACTGATTCCATTGCAAAAATTTTTATGGAGTGAAAAATGACTATTTTGGGATTTCTTAAAACCGAATTTATAAGATTAAAATTTGGGTTGTAATAAGAACCACTACACATGGAATCCAATAAGGGTCTATAGTGAGCTCATCAAAGGCCCATAACTACATCCTTAAAGAATCATTGGTGGAAGAAACAAGAAGGCCCAATAATAATTCCATTCGATAGAGGAAAGTATTATAGTGGCCCATTTCAAGTGATATCATGGATCAAAGACAATGCTTACAAGATTCGAGGTCAAATCATTTTCAAAAAGCGGAGGATGATGCGACCCAACATAATGAAGATCCATCAAGAGTACCAATTGGGCCAATCACAAGGCCCAAGTCCAAACAATTAAGATAACTCTTCATTGGTGATATTCAAAGATGATGGAAATCCAAGTCAAGCCCATTTGTAAAAGATGAAGAAGAATTCAAGGCTTTTTATAATTGTTTAAGTGCTGATTTTGGAGATTAAATTAGGCACAAATAAGCCTTATTATTTTTAGTCATCATTATTTTAATTTGTATGGCATGAAAGAGAAAACACTAGTTTGTATTTAGAAAGGATTCCTTAAATCCTTTTCTAAATAGGACTATATTTACTTGCTTTCTAGATTTGGTTTATGACTCTTATTCCCATTGTATTTAGGATTACAATGCTGCCCTATACCTATAAATAGGGCACATCCATATCAGTTTTAGAGGGGGCTTTAATTCAATAAAATTCTTAAGTTTTTCTTTACACTTGTGTAAGAAACCTTATGGCTAATTGTGGACTCAATTAGTGGCTAGTCGTGGACTCGACTAGCAAATTGATTCGTGGACTCGAATCAATCTTCCTTTCTTCAACCTTAGATTTAGGTTCGTGGACTCGTTCTTGAATCGAAGGAAACTAGATCCGACTCTAGTTGATTGAAGATTGCATCATCGAGGTACTTGAAGCTACCATGGGATTCTTCTAAGTCTTTGAGGATTCGAGACAAAGGATTTCTCGTGAGGTTTAAGGTATTTTGATCCATCTCTATCTTTACTTTTGAGAGCATTCTTGGGACAATATTTCATCTTTATTTGAACATTGGACTAGGTTCATATCAATTTGGTATTCAGAGTCTAGATTTATCTCATTATCGTTAGAAATTTGTTTTCTTTGGTTCCCTAGGTTTATCTCATTCTTATCTTACATACTACTTTTTTTCGTGTCTTATTCATTTAAAAACCCCAAAAAAATTTCCTTTGCATTCTTGATTATTTTCTTGAATCTTGATACATGTTCTTTAGTTTCTTGAAAACCTATCCCGAAAGAGTTTTCCCTTTTTCCTATCCAATATCAACGACACCTCACACCTCCTAAGCACCATATTACCAAAAATTCAGTCAAGAAAACAATCTCATCTCACCCTTACCTATATCCGAAGCGCATTTACGCGCAATCACACCCTGTCTAGATTTCCGCGTTCTGTGACCAGTTTCAAAGAATGACCTATATCTTGATATCCACTGGTTAGTTTTATCTGAAATTTTGATATGTTGTAGATCTCTTCTGAGGCGTTCTTTTGATATATTATACACGTGCTAATTCCTTACAGTCATTGATATATTGATCTTCGAAGTAAGGGCAGCGTTTCTGTTTTTCTGGGTGATTCTTGAAATTCTTGATTATGTTTTGAAGGGGTTGTGTGGATCTTCTTGGTCCGAAATTTTTGTTGATATTTACAGTAGTTATTTGGAGGTTACTTATAAAAAAATCAAAAAAATCAAGAAATTTGAAAAAAAAAAAAAAAAAAAAAAAAGCAAAAAAGAGAAAGCAATAAAGAAAAAGAATAAGGTTGGGGAAGGAATCTGGTTGGTAGGAGAATTTTGAAGGGAAAAGGAAGGGGAAAAGTATAAGGTTGGAAGGAGTTCTTGATATATTCCTATTTGGTTGTGGTACGCTTGAACCCCTATTACATTCTATTTGTGTCTATCTTCTGATATTGGTCCTGCATATCTTTCTGACATACTTCTTTCTTTGCTTCCCTTTTTTCTTTCAAATCTTGCTTAGTTTCTGTGCTTGTATTGTCCTTTTTCTTTGCTTCTTGCTCTCAATTTTATTACCTACCTCGTGATACACCTTACTCTCAAAGGCTTGTGAAGTTTTCCCAGGTACGTTTTCTTGAACTTTGAGGTTGAATCCATATCAACTTGAGTTCCGGACTAGAATATTTCTTTTTGGAAAAGGGCTTGTGAGAGTATCTGCCACCTTGAGCGATACACGAGTGGAGTGTGTGTTTGTAAGAGTGTGTAGTGCACCCCCAGAGCCATATAATCCACCTCTTAGCCACGAGCTAAGAATAGTGAGGGAGCGAGCCAACTTTTTGGTTTCACTAACGTTACTACTCACACATCTTCTTGTTTTTTAGATATTTTTTTTCCTATACAGATGGCTGAACAAGTTCCAAACCTGCCCCAGACATTAGAACAAGAGATAGACAGGTTACTCAAACGAATGAATAATTTGGAGCAACGCTCACAGCAAGTGCAACCACCACACAATGATGAGCGACACCTGCCACCAGCAGGAAGAGTGGATCCTAGATGTCAAAGGATCCAGCAGCGTAATGCGGAGTTAGGAAACATTAAACATGAAATTCCTAACTTCACCGGTGAGAAAGGACCTACCGAATACATAGAATGGGAGAATGCTATTGAAACTCATTTTTATTTAAAGCACTATTCTGATCTTACAAAAATTAGGCTAGTTGCTAAATCTTTTAAGGGGCATGCAGTATCATGGTGGCGAAAAAGAAATAGAGAGAGAGTTGCTAATTTTATTCCCTATGAATCTTGGGTTCAAGTGAGGGAAGATATGCGCCTAACCTTTCGTCCTAAATCTTTTTTCTATGATCTTGAAAGAAAATTGCAGGGAACGGTGCAAGGAAAAAAGTCAGTTGATGAGTACTACCAAACTATAAATATTTTGCTTAAACAGGGAGACATACATGAAGAAGAGACAAAAACTGTTACTCGTTTCGTACATAAGGTTGTCACAGGAAATGTCTTCTAAAATGCCTCGAATTGAGGAATCACCCAAGCCGAGTGCGAAAGCGATAGATCAACCAGTAGAGTGATATCTTGAACAAAGATGGAGGGTCGTTTCGAAGCCAAAACTCCCACCCCAATTGGGCCATTGAGATTGCACTCATCGATGCCCATAGCACCAATACCTCTAACGTCATTAACCACACAGCCAAGTGAGGTGTTGGCCTAGGTCGGGGAGGTATGATAGGCCCGCAAAGCAAAGTAGGCAGCCTAAGAGAGAAAAAAGGACGATTATGGTTGGACTTATAGGCTAGGTAAGCAGCCTAAAATAGAAAAGAAAAAAAAAAGATATCACTTCCAGTGTTGGGCTTGCAAAGCAAGGTAGGCGGCCCAAGAAAAAAAAACGATTATGGTTGGGCTTGCAGGCAAGGTAGGCAGCCCAAAGGAGAAAATAAAAAAAAAACGATATCATTCTTGATGTTGGGCCCGTAAAGCAGGGTAAGCGGCCCAAAGGGGAAAAGAAAAAAATTGATAACATTCTAGTGTTGTGCTCGCAAAATACGGTAGACAGTCTAAGAGAAAAAATTAATTATAGTTGGGCTTGCAAGCTGGGTTGACAAGCCCGGCGAGAGAAAAAAAAAAGTACATCTACTTTTCTCAGGACTTGCAGGTTGTAAAAATAGCTTGGCTAGCTCGACAACACATGCATGTGTGAAATAACAACATAAAGCAAGAAATGTGGCTCGTCGACATGCATGTAGAGAAGGAAGTCAAGAATCATTCTTGGTTGGCTCGCAAGAAGGGGAGGCGGCGAAGGCGGACTCAAGGAATCATCAAACCTCAATGAGAAAAAACAATCGAATAGACTCACACATAGGGAAAATAGCCCAAGGAAGCCCGCAAGTAGGAAAGATAGCATGGTAAACCTGCATGGAGGGAAGGGAAGGTAGCAGGGACTAAGCTATCCAAAAGAGATGAGAACCTTTCGGCCTATGAGTCTAGGCGTTAAGGTGTGAAGAAGTTTGGGTGTGTTTATACTTTTTCTATTTGTGAAAGACACCCAAAGAAAATGAGGGATATGTGATGGGGCCATGGGCCCCCGATGGCCATTTTAGTGGGAAGATATTAGTTCAAAGAAGTCCATTTTTATTGATGAGGTTTTGTCGCAAGAAGAATAAAAGTCTTGGTGGGCTAAAAATGAAGGAAACATGGTGAGAATAAAAGTCTTGGTGGGCTTAGAAGGAAGGAAACATGGTGGCCCAAAAGGACGGAACAAAATAACGAAAATACTGCTAGCAAAGTTCAAACCCGCAACCTCCCACTTGGTAACACACCTACCAACCCCCATCAATTTAATCACATTGCATATACCAAAGAACATGATGCTCTACTTATTCATGTGAAAGCGCTATAGTGGGGTATTACATGTATGCCTAAAAATTGAGAATAACCAAAGTCGTGCACTTGCCAAGCATCTAGATGGGTCTTCAACACTACATAAGAGGCATCAATGACATCATCCCTTATTTTACTATAATCATCCTAGTCCAATGACTTAGGGTCTTAATTTCCCATTGGAGCACCAGGGTTCAACATTATTATTTCTATTTATAAATTTTGGGCTTATTATTTTGGGAATTGTACATACTTTTTGGGGTCTAGCACCTAGATTTATGGTGGACTCAGTCCCTATAAAACCATCACCCAATAGTTATTGCGTAGACCGTGGTCCACACAGCCATGTGGACCATGGTCAAAAAATGACGTCGTTTTATTTAATTTTATTTTTTCGAGCGTCCAACTGCAACATACATTTTTATAACTCATAATGTACATTATTCTAAAACATAATGTACATTATTTTAAAACATAATGTACATTATTTTAAAACATAATGTACATTATATTACCCCATATGTTTCATTATTCTAACACGTAATGTACATTATTTTAACACATAATATACATTATTCTAACATATAATGTACATTATTCTAACACATAATGTACATTATTCTAACACATAATATTCACGACGATATTTTGGACCGTGGTCCACTATGGACCGTTGCCACCGTCACCTAATAATAATAATAATAATAATAATAATAATAATAATAATAATAATAATAATAATAATAATAATAATAATAATAATAATAATAATAATAATAATAATAATAATAATAATAATAATAATAATAATAATAATAATAATAATAATAATAATAATAATAATAATAATAATAATAATAATAATAATAATAATAATAATAATAATAATAATAATATTATTATTATTATTATTATTATTATTATTATTATTATTATTATTATTGTTGTTGTTATTGTTATTGTTATTGTTATTGTTGTTGTTGTTATTGTTATTGTTGTTATTGTTATTGTTATTGTTATTGTTATTGTTATTGTTATTGTTATTGTTATTGTTATTGTTATTGTTATTGTTATTATTATTATTATTATTATTATTATTATTATATGATACATTTATAGTACATAGCAAAAATAGATATGATAAATTGGATATTAGCATATATAAGCTATTCATGAGAACTTAAGATAGTTTATTACCGAGAACTATTAAAATAAATATTTCACTTGCAAACAGAATAGATCATTTTCAGAAATAATATTCTCGAGAATAAAATGACTTACCAAAGAGCAAAATAAGCCTATTACAGAGAATGTTATTCCTTTCCCAACCTATTTTGTGAACCAAACATATTGTTAGAAATTTCAATGACTTCCAATCAAACTATATTAAAAAGAAAAACACTTCTTAAAAATAAGGGAAGGGAATTGCAATTCCGTGACCAATGTCAACTAAATTTACAAAATATTTTTGATTTTGTTTGTGCAAAAGAGAAGACCCCAAAGCCTGCTAAGTGGCCATTTGCATCACGACCCTTATAGTGTTAGCCTAAATAAGACTACTTAATCGGGCCTAGGGATGATCATGAAATGTAATACCCCAATCACTCGTTTAACCCATGTCAGCAGATCATAAGTGTATTTGTTGCCCTACCTCAAGACATGAGTGGTCTTCTTAATCCTCCCATAGGATATTAGATGTATACAGTCAGCAACCAGAGGAGATAACGCATAGTCCAAGGATGTGCCTTTGAGCATAAGATTAATCACAACCTTCAAGTCGAGTTCCACGATCACCCTACCCAATCCCCTTTCTTTAACTAAATGAAAGCCTTCCCTAAGACCCCATAGCTCCACCATAAAGTTGTTGGTGATCCTAATCTTAACCATGAAACCGATAACTTATCTCCCTTAATGATGATCACGCACTAGCCCTCCAAACACTCGCTAGATTCATGTCAGTCTTCCTAACCCCATCAGTATTTAGCTTGAGCCAGTCTTTACTTGGTGGTGTCCAACTCACCCACCTCAATTTAGCTCCCTCTATCGCCCTTTTTTTTTTTAAATATATTAGCGCGTTTCTTGCCTCGTGTGCCAGCCAGGAAGCTCTTCTCGTGACCTCGTCAGGAGCTCTATTCATACCCTTGAAACCCAATCGTTATGAACTTAAATTTCTCAGAGCATGTACACAAATTTAATATATTGCAAGTTGTTATCCACTAGCACTTCATAATAAGAACAGTTCACTTCGAGCCAGCTTGTAAGTGGACCGAAGTGTAAAGGCATAAAGAACCTTGGGCTCAACATTCTTTTGCAAATCCACATTCTTGGAAAAGGTGCCTTAAGGTCTCGTCTCTGTCATCACAAGTGAGACAACTATTTTTTACTATCATACTCCTCATTGCCCACTCATTGTTCATTAGGATATTACCCTTCACCACTAACCAAATGAACATACACACCCTATCAATGCATTTCGGATTCTAGATGCACGCCAGATCTTCTTCTCCCACCTGACAACACGCAGTCATGTTATAGGAAAATTTAACATAAAAGGAACATGTACCTGATTGCGACCATAAGAGCATGTATTCCTTGTGAGCTTGATATGGAATTGATATGACCCTTATCATCTCCACTTTTTTTCTACGGGAAGTGTTAGTTTCACGAGCATGGGGTAGTCAATTAGAGGGCCAACACTACCGGAAAACTGCTCGAAATATCGACGAAAAATTGTTTTATTGCCTTTTGTGTATTTTGTGAGCTTAACCGTTGCAAGGCCCTAACAACGTATTTATACATGAAGATTAAGCCTCCGGAAAGCAAGAAATTGGTTTAAACTAGGCAAGTAAATCAACAATAAGTGTATACAATTTCTTTCCTAATTGTTATAGGATCTTCTCCGATTTTCTGCGAGATCCGCTCCAAACCGCTTTCCAAATCAAGTTGTTTCCTTTTTATGCTGGAAGAGGAACCAATCCTTTATGGATGATAGACCCGCTATCTTGGCGCTTCTCCTACCGACTCTCGCTCTGAGTCAACTTGGTCCCTCGCTGAATGACTCCCCTTATCCATTCGTCTGTCTACTTCACCTAATCGTCTGCCGGACCCCTCCACTCCATCGGTCTGCCTGACTCCCCATTCAGCAATCCGCCTTATTCCTCCATTTGACCATTCGCCTAACCCCCACATTCGTCCATTCGCTTGACTCTTCCACTCAACCATCTGCATAGCTCCTCGATTCGGCCATCCGCTTAAGTCCCCTATCCGGCCATCCGCTTGATTCCTCCACTCGGCCATCTGTCTGACTCCTCCACTCGACCATCTGCTTGCTTCCCCCATTCGGCCATCTACCTAACTCTTCCATTCAACCATTTGCTTGGCTCCCCCATTTGGCCATCCGCTTGACTCCCCCATTCGACCTTTTGTATAACTCGTTCATCTGCACCTCTTTATGGCATGCTCGTTTGACCCCCCCCCCCCCCAACCCAAGGTGTCACCTGGCTTCTTCACTCAACCACCCACCTAGCTTCCTCCTCAACTAATCGCCCAGCTGCCGCATCTAACCAGGCGCAAATCCTTACCCATCAAGAAGTATGTCCTGCAATTTCTTAGAAGCTTAGCATCGAGAATCAAGAATGAAATCACTAATCTTAGCATTAGTCACCTCCTTTGAGATGCCGATATTCACGTCCAACCTCAACAACTCCGTATCCACCCACCAATTAGACCAGAAATGTAAAGGTTGACCATTCCCTATGGAGTAATAGAACATTGAAGAAAGGACTACTATACATAATTGCTTCAAGGGTTAATGACTGAAATAGGAAGAAGTTAGAAAGCAATGACAAAAATGGGAAGGTTTTAAAAAATGTATAATTTCGAGAAAAACTCATTTGAGACATGCGTTTCTTGTCAGAAACACATATCCCAAATCAGTTTCTTTAAAAATTGTTAAGACTTTTTTTTTCCTAAAAACAACCAGAGACGTAAGTGGTACTTGCGTCTCTCGAGCGTATACGAAATGGGAGTCTCGTTGCCTTGTGTCGATGATTATTCGAATGAGTTTCTCTTCCTCATCCTCGTTTGCTAGCATTGTTCCCCGTTCCACTCTGTTTCGGCAAACACCATACTTCCTTAACCGTTTTGTTGGGATATTTAGGAAATCGAACTAGGAGGTTATTCGACGTGTTCCGACCGTAGTGACGACTTCAGAGACTTGATCTTGCCGAAGTCAAAGAGCTCGTCGACGACGGACAAATAAGCCTTCTCCAACGGCCCGCTAAACTCGAAAAAAAAAATCACTATCATCCTCGACTTCTCCATTAATACCGTCAAATTATGCCTAGACGTCAGAACTCCTGGCTTCTCTTCCCAACAAAACATAATTGTGCCACCGTGGAAGCAGGTGGGGCTGGCGAGGACGCTGGCAAAGTAGGCGCCAAAATGCAGAGGACTCGCGAGACCCATTTCGTATACGCTCCACCTCGAGTATAATATGTGAGACGCAAGTACCACTTGCGTTTCTTGTTGTTTTTAGAAAAAAAAAAAAAAGTTTTAACAATTTTTAAAGAAACTCATTTAAACATTTTGACCAAAAAAAAAAAAAAAAAAAAAAAAAAAACATATACCAAATGAACTTTTTTCAAAATTGTACATTTTTTAAAACCTTCTCAAATTATCATTTTTCTCATTGCCTTCTAACTCCTTCCTATTTCAGTCATTAACTCATTGCTTCAAACACCCACAACCACCAAAGTCTTTGGCGCGTATGGGCAACTCCGTCATTTCCAGTGTTCCGCAATCCGCATAGCCTCTAGGCTCTACCACCGTCATGTCTGGGCGGACAAAAACGCGGTGAGGGACTTGAAAGACAGGAGCACACCACGCAAGCCTTGCTTTCTCCGCCGCCACCCTCTTTGGAACAATCTTTCTTTTTCTTCCACAACTCCCTGCAATTGCATTCCCTATTTTTTCCAAACTTTTCTACTTTCGCTCTAAATTTGCTCTGGAAATCTCTCTATTGTTTAGTTAATTTTCAATAGAGATATAGGTTCTGTACATCGAGGTGATCTTCGGAGGAAATGTCGGCCATATCAAACTTTACGGCTGGCCGGCACGCCTTGACCGGAGCTGCATTGCGAGAGAGCTTGCCGATAGTTGGTTCGGAGAAGCACAGTAGGTTGAAAATGAGAATTTCAAGATCTTTGGACAAGGTATAATGTGAAGACAAAGAGCCAATAAATGAATGAATATGCAAGTACTTGGAAATTCTGGTGATTTACTTGCTGCTTTCAAATGTCAATTCTGCATATTTAGGGGCAACCTTAGGTTGGGGAATTCTATTGCTGTTAGACTCTGCTTCTTGCTTGCTAAATTCTGATTTTCTTTTGTATCTACTATTTAAAAAAAATTGCATCTTTTATGGTTTATTTAGTATTGTCCATATGTACTGCAAGCTCAACCCACACTGCATTGAGTTAAATTCTTTTTCCTTTTTAGTGCATAAAAGCTACATTATAGCATTGCAATGGTAATTTTGGGTATTCCTTTCTTCCTTATGTTGATTTGCTTACTTGATCATCATCATCCATTATTGTACTTGAATCTAAATACTTTGAAATCTTCTCTCTCAGTATCAAATGAGCAGTAATTCACCATATTCTGATGTCACTAATTTATAGCATCTTAGTTTATAATTTTCCACTTTCCAAATTTCTCAGGCAGCTCTTCGCCATTCTAATGGTTCAAGTATCCGGATGACATTGGTAGATGAGAGACTTGCACACAGAAAAGTTGTGATGCCATCTGAAGTTTTGGTATTTGATTTGCATGTTTCCACTTATACTAATGCCTTTTTACTTGATTTTGTAAATATTGAATAATGTGATTTTGATTATCTCCTTTTGCGCCTCAAAACATTCAATTGACAAGGTTATTTCTGTATGCAGGCATATGAACTCGTTCAAGGAGCCAAAGTAAGTATTATGTACTTACTGGGGCATTGGAAAATCTATCACAATTATTAGTTGGTGTTAGCCATAACTGGTTCATCAAGTTAACTGTCATTCTATGTAGTGGGGTTTTATGTTGGTTTTCACAAATGTGATTGTATCTGTGAATGTGTGGTGTATAGGTGAGATGGAGTTATATCATGGATAAATCCTTGCCTGAACCACCTACTGCAGTCCTTTTGCACGGTATTTTGGGCAGCAGGAAAAATTGGGGTAATGAAGCATTTCACTTTATCTAAATACATTTCATTTATTCTTCGTGTGCATGTTTAATGAGTGCAATCTAGCTCCTTAGAGTCGTGTTAGCCACATAATAACAATAGTGAGAAATAGTTACGTGGCTCAACATGTATCCATCCCTAACTGGCACTTCATGTGAGCATCATTGTATACTCTCTAATCCTACTCACATGCAGAAAGTGTGAGATATCTTTGGTATATTTTATTAGTAAAAGTTTGCATGACAACCAGCATTCAAAAAGATGTTTGAATGAAAGTAATAAATTAGTTTAACTAGAACTCAACTGGAATCACAAACTGTCAAATTATAAGCTAGTCACAAGTGAGCCTATGTCAGCAGTTCAGCTTTAGTAGCACACTGATTTAGCAGTTTTTCAGGCTGCAAATGATGTTAACTACACCACCCGTTTGCATACTAAACTTATGGTCTGCCCTTTCCAATTATATCACTTTCTTATTATGGGATGTCCAACAATGATTTTGAATTAAATCATTCCATGTTATGAATATCCAAAAAATTGAATTCATTACAGGAATTCAAACTCAAATTTAGTTTGATTGTTACTATGCACAAGGATGATTTTCTCTTATACTGTACATTCTCTTAAGCTCATATAAATGTATTATTGGCTTCTCCAACTAGACTGTAACTCAGAACCACATAAGGGTGTTGGGATCTGCACTTTCAATATGTTGCCTCTTATAGTGTCTTTGCATGCCCAACTGGATTCATTGTAGATTGGAATTTGTATTCCCAACGGTGGAGTGCTGCAGGAATTTTTTAAAAAAATTTCTTCAGTTAAGCTATGTTGTTGAATGTTGCAATTTCAAATTGTGTTCATTTGTAATCAAAAGTTTCTACAGGGAAAAGGGCACTACTGAGTGTATAATAGATATCAGAGTTAATACCACAAATGGTCCTCTGACTACTAGGGTAGTACTCCTTTTAGTCCTCGACTTTCAATTCAACCAAAACACATACCTCGACTTTCATTTTTTACCACAAATAGTCTTGCATTAGTCTTTCTGTTAAGTGAGTGTTAAATTTAAGGGTATTATCGTCAAATCAAAGTGTTATATTCAAACTTTCGAACCATAAAACAGCTGACTTACCTGCATACAATACCGTTCCTTTTATTATTTGCACCAGGGGTATGGATCCCCCAAACGGTGGCTACGATATTATAATAGGTATGTGACCATCTATTATAGTTCGTATAGGACTGGTTACAAGGATAAGGACCATAAATTCCTTTGAGTCCCAACGGCCACTGGATTGCACATTCCTCTGGGTAGTGAGGTCTGCATCCAGTTTGATAGGCAATTTGGAAGGTTGACTTACCTGGCGAATGAATTATTATTAATTCATTAATTTGGTAATTAATCAACTCATTAATTCAAATGGGAAGGGCGTTTCTGTATGTGATAGTTGGCGGAGGAGTGGCTGCTATGTATGCAGCCCATGAATTTGTGAAGAGAGGCATCTCTCCCGGCAAACTTTGCATCATCTCTGGCGAACTTTGCATCATCTCCCAACGAACTTTGTAGCTCAAATGAACTTATTGTTAACTATTTTAATTTTTTTTCTTTGATTTGACGATAATACTCTTAAATTTAACACTCACTTAACAGAAAGACTAGCGGAGGACTATTTATGGTCAAAAATGAAAGTCGAGGTATGTATTTTGGTCGAATTGAAAGTCGAGGACTAAAAAGAGTACTACCCCAATAGTCAGAGGACCAATTATGGTATTAACTCTAGATATCACATATTAAGATTTAAGGGAGTATTTTTGTGTTGCTGCTATTTGAAAAAATCGTGCTTTTGTAATCAAAAGTTTCTATATAGTAAAGGGTGCTTCTGATTTATAGTACATATCATATATCAAGGGAGTGTTGTTTGGTTGCAATTTGAATCTGATGTTTCTGTTAGTTTTCCAGAGGTGGAACGTGTCCTTTCCCTGAAGAATAGGCCTTTCTAGTTTGTATCTTAGACCATGTTAAGTCCTAAATTTTGTGCAGATGGCTTTTACAGGAGACAAACTTTATTAGTTCAACTTATTAACTAATATTCAAATTTCTTGTGACATAATTTAGCATATCAATATTATTTATATGTCTTGCTATAACATTTGTATCAGGAAGCTTTGCTCGGAGATTAGCCAAAGAATTTCCAAAATGGCAGGTACTGAATTGTTTTACTTGTGTGTCTTATACTCTTGGTTTACTTAATTTGCTATTCTGCATTGTCATGGAAAAGATCTTTCTGTTGACTTCAGTTTCATTCAGTTTCTCTTGGTAGACTTGTGGTGCCATGGTGATTCGACATCAATCAAGAAGAAGGGGCCTCATACTGTAGCTTCAGCTGCCCTGGATGTCTTAAAACTAGTACATGATTCTTACCTGCACTGCTGTGTTTCTAATTAATCAATTTTCTGTTTGACTCCTGATTAATCAATTGGTGTATTTCACATTTTTGGTGACTTGGATTGGGTTTTGTTTCCATTAACAATCAAGTTCTTGATTCATTTGAATGGATAAAACTAAGAAAGTACCAAACACATAATCAAATGTTCTGTGAAATCAAGCAATTCCCCTTCTTTCCCCAGTCACTTGAGAGACTATCGTGAATACTTTGCTTATATGATACATTGTTGAATATTTTTCTATTTTATTTTTGCAGCTTGGGCATCTCAGGCTCACTCCCAGAGTTGTCGTTGGTCACAGTTTTGGAGGAAAAGGTAATCTTAGCTAACCTGTTAGTGTAGGGCTTCCAATAAAATACTTCATGTTTTGATTGCTCTCTTGTTACTAATGCAGTTGCTTTGAGCATGGTTGATCAGGTTGCTAAACCACTTGCACGGCCTGTCAGAGTAAGTTCACTGTACTTGCAGAGTGCTGCCTTAATGTCAAACGTAGTACAGATTTCAATATAAAGAATATTCTGAATATCTGCTCCATAAGTATCTGACAGTTAGCAGAAAAGTTTATAGAATGACTTTAATGAGCCTCATTTACCATTGTGGTCCTTGTACTATCAATTCCCAAATTGTTAACCCTTTCAAGTTTCAACCGAATGTTTTGATGTTTTCTAGGTTTGGGTTCTGGATGCAACTCCAGGAAAAGTAAGAGCTGGTGGAGATGGAGATGATCACCCAGCTGAACTAATTACTTTTCTAAGTGCACTGCCAAAAGAGGTAAGTGCTTTACTTTTATGGTTCACTTTCCATGAGTGAATACTTCTCTTGTTATTTGTGTTAGCATCACAACAATCAAACATAATTATGCTTGAGGAAGTTATCATAAATTCATATTGATCAAAAAATTGATTTTGCATATGGCAATCATTCTTCAAGGAAGGTCTCTTCAAAACGGGATGTTGCGGAGGCTCTTACTAAGCAGGGTTTTTCCAAAGATGTGGCACAGGTATTAATAAGCCACACATTATATTGATTTCCTTAAATAAATGAATCTCTAAGTTGAAATTTTGGTTAATCCTTTTTTGTGGAAGTTATAGATAGCTTACCTCTCTCGTAATTCCCTATGTTTTTACATTTTGGTATGATTTCCAGTGGGTGGTAACTAACCTCCGACAGACCAACCCTTCTGGTACATCCCCAGCAAGCTTCTCGTGGGTGTTTGATCTTAAGGGAATTGCTGAGATGTATCAATCATATGAAGAAACAAATATGTGGTTAGCTATCCTACACTGTTTGGATGTAATCTATACTTTGCGTCATTTTTCATTATTCAATTGCTTGATTGCATAAATATCCAAGCGGATTAATAAATAATGGAGGCACTCTATTTAGTATGTCTTAATGAATAAATAAATGTTTGTCCGATATAGTGGATGTGCATGCTCTATATCATGTTTCTAAGTACAACCTTATAATGATGCATTTTATTCGATCAAGTGTTAAAAGAGGAATTTGCATTTGATAATTTAAGCTTTTGTGTAGGAAAATAGTGGAAGATGTACCCCGAGGTGTACATGTCAGCTTCTTGAAGGCAGAAAGGAGTTTGCATCGGTGGGCACTTGAGGATATTCGGAGGATTCATTCTGCCGAGGAGCAAGCTTCCAAGGAGGGAGGTGGAGTAGAGATGCATGTCTTAGAAGATGCCGGGCACTGGGTATGTTTCGTTCTCTCAACTGTTGGAATATAACTTATATAAGTATCTTCTTACTATTCTCGAGATGCTTAAAATTGTGCCAGCATTTCTATAACAAACAAAATTGAAACTGAGTCTAGATCTGCCTCACCTCTGCAATATCAATTTGACTTGCACAAATTGGTAACAAGAAGAGGTTTTGTTGCACATCATTGAATCATTCATCGTATTTGAACTTTGAAATAATAGAGAGAAAACTAACAAGCCACTGACCACTGTTGATGTTATTGCCCTGGTGACACTTCATCTTGTATACTTTTGTTACCAATCACCATCTGTGCCATTGCCGTTTGCCTCATTGAAGTGAATCATATAACAATGTTACAGGTGCACGCGGATAACCCAGACGGATTATTCAAGATTCTTTCATTCTCGTTCCATGGATTTTAAAGTTGGAATACATTGACATTGATGGTCCTGCAGATTAGGAAAATTACCTGAGCCCGCAAACATCATTGACCTCTTTTTCCAGTGTGGTAAGTGTATCATTTTTTACAAATTTTGTATGAGGGCAATGTGTAAAACCAATATTCATTCAGGCATGAGATTTGTACATTTATTTTTTTTTCTAGAAATTGTAAATCGAATAAGATGTATTCTAAGAGTTATGATCATTTATTTCATGATCCGTGAGATCTCATGAAACAGTTTCACATGAGAGTCACTCTTCATAGGTCAGTGTAATCAAGGTTATCAAGGCGGACTTTCTAGGAGAGATGTCACCAACTGTCTAGTCGACTAGACGATGAGTATTAAATAAATAAAATATATAAAATATATACATATGTATTGAAAATATCTTGTCTTGGGCAGCTTATTTACTTCAAGTTGCCTTTAGTAGATGAATAGTTTTTCCTAGAATAATGAGAAGTTTAGTATTTATTGTGTATATTGAAAATATCTTGTCTTGGGAAGCCTTTTTGAACCCTATTTATTTCAAGTCATCTTTGAGAAAATGAATAGTTTTTCCTAGAGTAGTGAGAAGTCTAGTATTTATTGATAACATGTCAGGGTGAGGTAGTGGGCTTTGTTCGGAACAGGAGGACGACGCCGGAGCCCGAACCGCGCCGCCATCGGAGCCTCCACTCGCCTCCACGCGCCGGCGCGTGAGGCAGATTCCGACGTCTTCTCCGGTTGAAAATTACACCGGTCAACTCGCCTTAGTGTGTAGGTGCTGCTCATGTATGTTTTGTGGGGTTTTGGGTTGTATTTTGCACTTAGGCGAGGCGAGCGGACTAGGTGCAAGGCTGTGACCGCTCAGACGCCTAGGCGGCGCCTTGATAACCCTGAGTGTAATGATTAAATTTATCAAATTTAAGTGCAGTGATTAAACAAGGAATTCATAGAACAAGTTTAAAATAACTTTGAAAATAAAGAATGCCAATTTTCAGTACTGGATAAGGAGCCATGAAGAATTCAAGTTGGCTACAAATTTACTCCTAACTAAAATGGCAGACCAATTTCAGCAGCAGCAGCAAATAATGTACTGGAGTCACAACATTATCTAAATTAATCACAGTTAGCGGAAACAAGATACAAGACTGTTCGGATTAATCTCAACTAAATTTACACAGTTGTCTCATCAAACAAGTGAATGGTCGATCACAGAAATGGCAGACAGGGCCATGCTGCCACTAGTGCAAATTAGGGACATTTTCTTTGAACATATGAAGCCCCATGTTCTTCATACCTGTAGTACAGAAACGACAAATTAAAGTGGCTAAAAGATATTGTAGTGAAGATCTTTGTTGTGACTGAACAAATGTACCCAATAAACTAACAATATGGGAAATTGAATTGCAACTGAAAGTTGCATAGAGAAATAATACTTACTCAGATTTTGAAAACCACATTTGCTGAAAAGAACCAAGTGATGCCAATATACTGCCCCCTATCCATACACTGCATAAACACACATGTTCAGAAAGATGCACTTAACTACATAATAAGGGTTATATTGTTTTCTCAGTCATCATTCTTGGCAGTTGGGAGTGAATTTCTTTGACAGCCAACAAGAAAACAAACACCATTCAAAGAGGTGGATCAATGTAAGCAACTTGAATGAAAATAAAAGGTGATGAGGCTGGGGAAAATTAAAGGATGTGCTTCGTCTCAACTAAAAGCCTAAGCTGATAGTTGAACTGCACATCCCCGCACGTATGCACATCCAATTACTTTTTTATAGGCTCCAAGCAATTGGGTCGAGGCGGAGATTCAAACTCATGACCTCTTGCATGGGGTTAGCTCTGATACCAAATTGAATGATATGTCCCGTCACAACTAAAAGCTTAAGATATAGTTGAACTACACATTTATGTTTATATATTATATATGCCCTACAGGGAAAATGATGGAAGTAAATCCCAACCTGAATCTCCTTTCTGTTGCATTTCCACTTGCCAGTACTTTGACTCTTGCTGCTTGTGGAGATTCCTGCAAATGCAAGTAACAAGGAGAAAAAAAAAAAAAAAAAAAAAAAAAAAAAAAAAAAGAACCATTCAACTGATTAAATACATATATGCAATAAGATTGATTCCTCGAGTACCAGAACATATGGGAGTGTATGATTTTCTCTAGTTAACACACCTATTGAGGAATCACATACTACAAATATATAAATGCACAAACTGAGAGAAAGCCTCAAGGGGCAACAATACCTCAAGCAAATCTTTCTCAAGACGTTCTTTTAGTTGTTGCATTGATGCTGTTCCCCCAGAAAGCTGTATGATATAGGCAGCATATCAACTAATATGTCATCAAAAGTTTCCAAGCAGGATAATGAGTAACATCCAAAATAAAGGGCAGTCATCATATCATAAGTTTTAAATTATAGAAGTATTGTGAATGTAATGATAAAGTATACTGAATCATCTGTACAAATATACTATTAAAAAAAAAACACTTCTAATTCAGATGTCCCAGGACAGCAACAGCTATGAGCTGACAATAGAGTTTGATGTGAACAAGAAAGAGCAAACTAATGAACACAATGCAAGTCCCAACCCATATATATGAATGCTAACTACCATTGGAAAAAAAAAAAAGTGGGGAAAGAACAGAAGAAAATAAGAGCTCCATACATGTTTTAATAAATTAAAAGATCATAGAAAAGTACTCAAAGGTTTACCAATATACTACTATAGAGTTCTCTTCGAATGTCCACATCACACCTACTTATACTCTCAATGACCTGAAAAGTTTTAAGCATCAATTATTTCTCCAAAAGGAAGAAGCAATGTTTCTTCGCTGTACTTATCAAAGATTATGTTGTCAGATAAATAGGACTTACCATTTGTGGGAGACCACGGAGAGAAGTAGCAGTCTCGGCAAAACTTTCCATTCCAGGGATGGTCTGAGATACACAAATAAAAAAGGAACCATCTCAAGAATAATACTCCGTATCTAAATTGCAACACATTGACCCAATAGTGATATAAAGTACTTCTAACCATGACAAAGTGAAAATAGTACTCGTAAGTTCAATATCAAAAAGCAAATGCCATTAAAGAAGCAACAAACCAGTACGGAAAACATTCATATTAAAATCAATGTTGTAAAAATCACTAGGCGCCTAACTAATACTCCCTCCGTCCCACTTTATGTGTCTGGTTCGGTTAACAAGGCTTGACTGAAGTTATTTTTAATTCAATTTTTCAAAATATTAAGTTTAATATTAATATACAAAATTTATATATTTAGAAACTACATTGAAAGTTCTATTAAACACAAAATCAAATTTAAAAATAAGTAAAAAATACTAAAGAAAATAAGCAAAGAAAGAGTTGGTTTGACCAATAAATAGTAAACAAGACAGGTGAAATGGGGCAAAGGGAGTATATATATGTGTGTGTGTTATTTTGTAGACTTCTAGGCAACTAGCAAGTATTCCTCCCATAAAACACAAATGTTCAATAGCACATAATACTCCAACCATAACACATACAATCCATCAAAGTAGCAAATTTTTTTTAAAAAAAAATGAAAAACAAAAAAATAAAAAATGGCTGTCGAGGCCTACTAATCAGCCAAGTGCCGAATTTCCTGTTCTTCCCTTCAGCCTAGGGGCGCCTGATAAGGCACTAAGTCAAGATACAAATGAAAAAGTAACCCATCAATCAAGCATCAGATTTGCAGATCACAAATGGAGCATAACTCATGGGATTGGTGCAGAAAATTAGGGGAAGACAAATCACATAATTTATGCTATTCACTTAATCTCTTCATTGTATGGAAGTATAAATAAGGAGCCTCCCCTAGTGTTGAAGCCATCGAATATTCATTATTAGAAAATAATAGCTATTATAGTTGGGCAAGAATCCATTCTTGCTAGAGCATACTTCACAGTAGCCTTGTTTGTCCTTATTCATTTCAATCCTATGAATCTCCATTAATTCTTCCTCATTTGCTCTTTAGTCTTTACGCTAACAAGTAATGCAGAATTGATAGGATTGAAATGAATAAGGACTAACAAGGATACTGTAAAGTATCCTCCAGCAAGAATGGATTATTGCAAACTATAATAGCTATTATTTTCTAATGAATATTTGATGCCTTCAACACTGGGGGAGGCTCCTTATTTATAATCCCATACAATGAAGAAATTAAGTAAATAGCATAAATAATGTGATTTTTTTTCCCCTGATTTTTCGCTCCAATCCCATGAATTATGCTCCATTTGTGATCAGAAAATCTGATGCTTGATTGATCGGTTACTTTCCATTTTCATTTGTATCTTGACTTAGTGCCTTATCAGCGCCTAGCAACTAGGTGACCACCTAGCCCCTATTTTTACAACACTGATAAAAATGGACAGATGGACTAAAAGAACAAAACTATCAAATCTCAAATGGTTCCCTGAAGCACAAAGGGAAATACACACACACACAGACATACATAAACATTGCACTGACAATCATTGCCATCATTCGAGAATCGAGATACAAAGGCCCCAGGAAGAAATATTGAATCTTATGGACAGGGCAAAACATGAAATCAATACCATATGAATCTTAGTGACACCAACCTGAACCAAAGAAGGATTGAATAAGATGTCAGGGATCTTGAATCTGTCTGCGCCAATTTCTATGGTCCTGGATGATAATTTAAAGCAAAGAGCACAATCAGAAGACAATTTAGTAACACTAGTACCAAAGATTAAATAAATAAATAAACAGCACTGAATTCATTTGTGGCACAGAGCCAAGTGGCCCTAAATGAAACCAGCTAAAGATAAAACTAAGACCAAGGGGAAAAAAAGGATCAAGAGGCTCCAAAGTTTTTGAGTCAAGAAAGATCTCCAAATGAATTGATAGGTCATCCTCAGAGTTCATGAACTTACTGCCCATCAGGAAGCTCATAAGGCGTCATTGGAATGTTTGAGTATGAACTATCTGCAGGATAAAAAGTATCAACATAATTTGAATGTTGTAAGAGCAAACAAGCTATAACAAATGTACAAGGAATTTAAACCAAACCGACCAAACCAACTAGCATGATGGAGAAAAACTGGTAATAGTAGATCAGTTAATATAGCTAAGTATTCATGCACTCTCCCAACTAGGTTACAATTAAGGCTTAGTTTAGTTGATAAGTATACTCTGAATACTTTGTATAATTTCTCCCCCTTTACTCCGAATTGCTCCAAACACCTAGAAACCTAAAAAGAGACTTCCCCCTTTCCATTTTGTTATTTATCAATTATAGCAGCTCATCATATGTCAAAACTGTCAAATAGCATTATTTTCAACTTAGTAGCACACTAGCACGTATACAATTGCATAGTGCCACTAAATTTCTCATATTTTCTTCCTTAAAAAGAGTCAGAATGAAATGAGAACCATATAAAACATGGCAGCGAACTTTGATATTTCCACTAGGAAACTGCGAACTATGATGTGATTTTATTTTATCACCAATAAAGGGTGCACCATTGGTTAGAGATTAGAGAAGTAATCATGGAAACTTGTAGAGAAATGCTTTATCACATTCAGATCAATATATAACAATGTAAAGAAATTGGGAAGAATCCAACATAAGAGGAGCACAGACCATCATATGGAGTATCTGGAGCTCGGCTCACACATTCTTTGATGTCACTGGCAATCACTTTCTGTGAAAAGAAAAAAAACATTTGAGTACAGGAATGAAAGGTTACAATAATTGAACATAAAAAATTCTAACAAGAAAGTTACCTGGCAGTAAAGTTTGTAACTTTCAGTTGTATTAGGAAAATCAAGATCCACTATCTGAATGTAAATTTTAGAAGTATTGAAGTTAAAAAGGAAGAAAATGAAATGTAGTGATAACACCAAGCACAAAAGTAAAATAAATAGTGCATAAGTTAAATACTAGCATTAGGTTACACAAACTTCAAAATAATAATTTTTGTTCAGTGCAATTTCCAAGCTCTCAACTACAAACAAAAGTGCTACTCCGTATTTCTTAAGTCTTAACTACACAGTATGATGGTCTCAGAGTCTGAATATAAGTGTACACACTCTTGAAAAAAAAAAACAAACTAGGGTCTCAAGTTTTCTTTCTTTATTTGAGGACAACAAAGAACTTGAATAGTTCACTTCTAGCAGAAAACCTTCACAGTACAAGGCTAACATTATGAAGGCACACATAAAGAGAAACCAACCTAAACTTCAAGGATTACAGGAAAATAAAGCAAATCATGATAAAAATAATATAGGTGAAGTACAGAATTAATCATTAAGCTAATAACCTGAAATTCTCCTGGCCGGATTTCTTTTCTTTTGAAAGAATATCGAGGTTTTATCTGCAGTTCAAGGACAAGGAGAAAAAGGAAATGAATGATCATATTAAGAAATATCTGAAATCTGAATCATCTCAATTAATCATGTCTTAGGATGCACATTGAAGTGAAAGTAACTCACAAATATGCCCTTTTGTTCCAGACTTTTCATCAAGGCCTCAGTAAGCACTTCTCCCCCTATAGGAGATGTAGTAACAGCCTATTGTCAAAGTGTGAAGCAATAGCAAATTAATTAAAAGGAAACCTTGAAAAAAGAAACAAATTACAAGCTAGGGAAATAGATTAATAGTATCTGGTATGTTATAATTTAACATTTATAACCAAATGCAGTCTCAAACACATCAAAATTTCCAGCTTAATAGACCTTGTTGAGCACCCTCCATTTCCACACATGATCATATTTTTAATTTATTGTTTTAATCCAAATTTTATTTATGAGAACAGAAAAGTGTACATGATTATCAAAAGAAATTATACAGGTGATAAGCATAGTGGATTCCTTGATTCCAACCCTATCCTTTAAACTTTTTCACATTTCATAAACCAATAAACATGGCCAGATGTTCATTTCAGGATCCATGAACCTTTTTCTCCATCTTCAGGAAGCCATGTATCAGTTCCTACCCTGAATTAAAGTTGTTCAGTTTCAACCACATTTCCAGGACTTTAAACCCCACATCAGATTCCAAGTTTTCAGTCAGTAAGCAGCCTATACCCAATACATTTACATATTTAAAGGGAATTACCTTTTGAAGAACGTATCCATCATGCACAGGAGCAATGGTAGTTGATCCACCACCACTGAGTCAATTAGCAGCAGGGTGCAAAGCATTAGAACTTGTTTAAGCAAATATACCATAAACTACTGGTAAAGTTGTAAACTGATGCAAGCAAGAAACTCCATAGCTAAAGAAGTTTTTGCGTTATATTTTTGTTGGTGAAGAATTGAATTAGAAGTTTAACACGTCATATTTTACGATATTTTTTCAGCCTAGTATTTCCAAGCAAGTTTGATTGTTTGTTTTAGACGAACTTATTTGTAAATAATGTCCAAGAAGTAATCAGAACTGATTTTTTTCAAGAAGTGAATAATCTCCTACCTATCTACGACCAAAGAAGTGGCGCGTCCTGATGCAAAAGATGTTAGAACCTGGCATTAAAAGAAACACAACCAGTCATTTAGCAATCACACACTCAATCACAATCTCATAAAATAGTAAGCTAAGATGAGAAAAGAAATGATCTTAGGTCCGAGACTCTGAGTCAATTTACATCAAAAAGACAAAAACAAAACCAGAAAAAAACAAAAACAAAAAGGAGGATAGAAGTGAGAACTCACAGCATTTTTGGCCAAAAACAAAGCAGGGACTTGGTATTTTTCAAACATAAGCTCTGCAGCCCTGTAAAATTAGTTTTCAGTCAACTGCAGTCTTTTACTATATCAATAATAGAGTGTGGAGGAAGTAACCGAAGTATGTCAAACATTAGATTGTTTTGTTATACAATGTTCTCTCTCTCAGCGCTTCATAGCATGCTTTGTCTAAATGATTATTTGTTACATCTAGTTTATAAGTTCAGGTATCAGGAATTTACAATGTGCAATAACTACCTGAAGTATTGTTCTTGAAGGTAAGAACCCTTTCAGTTAATCATTGAAATATTACAATGATGACATTGCTCATATATTGCATAATGAATGAAATAGTTTTGCCTGCATACTCACTTTTCTCTCTGTTGTTGAGTATTGGAACATGGCTCAGCAAGTAGCATTGGATGCTCTTTAGGATCAATCAGCAAGCATTCCCTACAAGTGAAAAAAGTCAAGAACCTTGTGTTTTAAGAAGGAACTTAGACTACCATTAATTTTCCAATGCAAGTAAGCAGTTAAAAGTTGAAAAACAGAGGGAACCTTTCAAGGAAAGAAAAGAAATGGTCTAGTACCTGAAGGCATGGTCCCATATGTTTTCAACAATTTCCCAGTCCGCAACTATTCCATCCTTAATGGGTGAGAGTGCCTGAGGAAATAGAACGTTTGCCATTCATATAAATAATATAATTAGAAAAGGTGAAGGAATAACATCTCAAAAGCATTAGAGCTTTGCAAACTGACCTCCATGTGATCCCGGCGGAATCCCAAGGATTGAGATCCTACATACAATTTTCGCTTGCCCTTGGACTTAGAGTCAGGGGCAGATCCAGAATTATTATCTGGATTATCAGGATTATCAACTTCCATTTGATCAATTGATCCAACAATCTTCACAGAAAATCAAAAAGTTAACATGAGCTGAAGCAAAACAAACATATAGGAAAAGACAGCTCATATAACTGAGAGTCTATAACATACTGTCATACTTCTAAAACTTACAAAACCAAAACAAAATCAGTAACAAACTGGGGACCAAAACGAAATGCAATCATTGTACAACCCATAATCCATGTTTCAATGGCTATTTTTTTGTATGATGAGGGAAACCCCACAACCCTTTCGAGTGTGAGTAAACCCCCGCCTTGTGACCCTAGCCGGACCACAAGAAGTAAACCAGTCTAAGTTACTCATAGCTGACCCGCTCAAACCAAGGGGGCAAAGGATTCAAACTCTTGACCTTGTGGTTACAAGTGTGGATCTCTTGCCATCTTGGTTGGGGTTACCCCGTTTCAATGACTATTTTAACTATAATAATGCAAGCCAGACTTTGAAGTAAACAAATTTGTATATTTTAACTATAATGCATAAGTTTCTATGACCTCACTGGCATTGCTAAACCCTATCACAAGTTACCCACGCTCCCAAGTTTGAAACTTGGCCAGTTTCAAGATTCAGAAAAGTGAAGGGAAAAACGTAAAATTGGTTGAGAGAGTAAATGTGGGTGTAACTTACAGAAGGAAAAACGGCTTTGGGAGCATCTTCGCCAGCGTAACCAGCCTTGCAAGTGTGAGAACCCAAGTCTACGACTATCGCAGAGACTTCATCTGCAGAATGTAAAAAAGACAACGCCCGATAGATAGATTTAAACAAAAACACAGACAGAAGTGCCGAATTTTTGTACGAATAAGTGTATAGATGATAATTTCTGAAGACTTTACCTCCTCCGTACATGATTGAAGAAGAAGTGTCTGAGCTTGCAGAATGCCAGAGGGATTGAAAGGGTTTTAGGGGTTTTCAATTTTCTTCTCGCGGTTCATGTCCAGAATATTCAATTCATTACCGGTACTAAATATACGACGACGTTTTATAAAATTGAAACGGAAATAATAAATTAAAATTTCAACGCCGTTGCCGGGGATCGAACCCGGGTCACCCGCGTGACAGGCGGGAATACTCACCACTATACTACAACGACTCGAGTGTTGACTGGTCACTGATAAATATATAGAAACATTTTCATATTAAAATGAAAAAGATTTAAAAACTCGCCGTTGCCGCGGATCGAACCCGGGTCACCCGCGTGACAGGCGGGAATACTTACCACTATACTACAATGACTCAGTGATGTTGTTTTTAAATAAACTAGTATTTAATGAGAACATCCATCTTTTTATTTTTCCATTTCCCAAGTATAATAATATTTTCAAATTTAATCCCCCAATATCTTCTTGAAAAACAACATAAAAACAAATTATTGCAAAATAATTAAATCTCTAATACAAAAAGGAGTATGTGTATCACATAGCCTTAATATAACTATAAAAGTATGTGTTACCTAACTCGGTAATCTACAAATATGTCTAACCAAACAAAACTTAAAGACTTAATCAGGATAAACAATCTAAAATAGCTAATCATACATAAGAAATATCAATCTATGCACTATTTAATTTAAGACAAACGTTTGAATAGTTTAGATTCCAATACAATGTTATTTAATCCCTTGCTTTTGATCCAAGACAAAGCCTCTTCGTATGCCAATGCTTCAGTGAGAAAAGGCTTCTGAATGCAATGCAAATCACCATTATTAGTTGTTATGAACGAAGAGGATAGCCCCATAACCCATTGGCCATTGTGCATGTGCCCTAGAATATGGTCACATCAACTCTACACAAAATAAAACCCGCTGGTGCAATTGCATTGTGTTGCTAAGCACCTATCGAAGCATTGAGTTTGTTAGTATTGCCTCTACTACCAGCATTGATTCATCTATTATGTTGTGAAGTTGCATCATTCATAGCTTGACAAACTTCCTATTCATAACCTAGGCTCATATTATCAAATTTGTTCTTTTAGACTACCAAGATGTGACTGTGTCACAAAATTATAGAAGGAAGGCTACCAATCTATCATATACACATTACTTTTTTGTTATTTTTGGAGAATAATTCCTAAAACCATTATGCTAACGTAATGTCAACATTTAACAACTCAACAATGCGATAATTATGCCGAACATGTTGCAACCATGTGGCAATCCCTCAACGCGTTCTCAATTGAATTGGGGCTACTATGCATCAAGGACAACTCACATCACTAGCAACCCCTACCCCCCCCCCCTGCCTAAGCATTAATCTAACCGGCAAACCCCCTTCAAACATCTCCATAGAAAGTTACAAACCTTTAGGGGTTACTTTGAGTCTCCACAAATCATTACAATTTGAGAAACTAGTGGGTTATTGCGAATTAGATAAGTCTCTTAATATCAATTTGATACATTAATTAAAACCACAAATATTTAATTCAATGATCTTCCATCACTAGTGGTTCATGATTGTAGACATTTTAAGGCAACTCAATACAAATAATTATTTATAAAAATATATACTACCCTGTAAAGAATCATGAGTATTTCAAAAAAAAAATTATAAAACAACATACTTAAATATGATTACTCATAGCTAATGACCTTGTGGTTTAGTGGCACGAAGTGGTTCTCTCAAATGGGAGGTCATGGGTTTGAGCCCCAGTGGAGGCGGTATTGACTATTTTGTGCTTCAGTAAATTGAGAAAGTAGTTATAAACGATCCAATCACTTTTGGAGGCTTCAATACTCTTTAGAAGATAACTTTATATCTCGGGAAGGCTTGGAAACAATATTTCTTCGTGGACTAAAGGAATTTTTCTATGTTCCTCAATTCTTTTATTGTTTATTTGATTTATTTCATTGTTGCCTCCATACTCTTTAGAAGATAACTTTATATCTCGGGAAGGCTTGGAAACAATATTTCTTCGTGGACTAAAGGAATCTTTCTATGTTCCTCAATTCTTTTATTGTTTATTTGATTTATTTCATTGTTGCCTCCATATGTAAAGACTAAACTAGTAGTACTTGAATTTATGATAAACCTTAGGACGGGCCCTTATTTTTAATTGTTTTCTTGCCTTAATGCAATTGTTTATCAGTTGACCCAATCATGTTGTTTATCGTTCTTGAATTAATAATGGCTAACTTCTTAAATTTATGTTTGATACATGTACTTGTGATAGAGGTATCTTTTGTATGTGTAGATTCCACACGATTAGAATGAGTGGGATGCAACCATAAAGATAAGATGACATCAATCCTTTGTGTTTCAGAGAAAATTGTTTAATTGAACTCATAAATTTTTAATGCAACCTTTGAAGGTTGAATCCCCAACCCCCCCCCCCCCCCCCCCCCACACCCCGGTCTGATATAGTATTTGGGAGGATGTAAATTATAGTGACTCTAACTTAGCAGACATGCATGGTCAAATGCCGATGTGCACAAGGGATCTGCCCCACTTTGGGCATAATCACCACACTCTTTGCCGAGGTTCGAACTTTGCTTTCTTCTCTCAAATATTACCTACTGAACTAATGAGCTAAGCCCGTGCGGGCAAGAGATTTTGATTAATCAACATAGGGATTAGTTGTCAATACTCTTGAGAAATATGTTAGCATAAATGAGGAAATTTCAGGGTCTCAGATATAAGCAATTGTTTTAGACATTTATTTATTATGGTTAATGATGTCCCATGGGATTCATTAATTCAAGCACCCTTAATTCATTGGTTGATTTCTTAAACTTTGTATTAGATTATTCTTGATTGCCTTGGTTGTTGATTAGTTTTTTTTTTTTTTTTTTTTTTTTTTAAATGATTCCCGGTCATATATTTAGGCTATATAATAAAATCTTAATTAGTACAAATACTCGTACTCCCTATGGGATACAAACTCAACTTTCTATACTAAAAACGATAGGTGTACTTGTCTAATCGAATTTGTATAGTTGCAAACCGAGTATCACAATACGAGGTCCAACCTCGTCTATTGTTTAATGAATAGGTTTCTTTGGTCAAGGTCAATGCCTTAGCTAAAAAGTCACTTAGTATTCCGTAGAGGCAATATGGTGTATGGTCTCGCTTAACGCTGAATGAAAGAGCTCATTCTTTGTCAAGGTCAATGCCTTAGCAAATAAAATTCTAAGCTTTCCCTAGGGGCATTACGAGGTCTAACATTGGCTAGCGCCAAACACGAAAGTATTCCCTAGGGGCATTACAAGGTTTTACCTCTCTGAATGCGAAACACATGAACTTGTTTTTGGCCGAGGTCAATACCTTAGCCATGAAAAGCTAAGCTTTCTCTAGGAGCATTGTAACACCCCCGATTTTCATGCCAATTAAAACTTAAATACGTAACTAGTAGATATCATAAACAAAAGCAATAGCGGAAGTTTAATATCAAAACAAGAAAAACCAAGGAGTGTTATGCCACGTTCACCCCAACGTGAACGCACAGGCAAGTCTACAACCATCCATCTAAATGTTCAACAACTGTGGCACACAGGCCAAAACACTAACTACAAAGCTCAGGGGATCTATACTAGCAACGGCTAACGCTCTCGCCAAGTCTACTCAGGACCTGTAAAACACATAAAGAAAGGGGACGACGCCCGGTCAGCGAATATTGCTGGTAACCCATCAATACGCGTCCAATAACATATATATAGATAGTTTAATACAAAATCATTTTCGAAATGGAATATAGTATATATCAGTTCAAAACCGTAAAGAGAAAAGTCAACTGCAAAGACTCTATCTCACTCTCAAAAAAACAAGGGAAATCAACATCCCAAGACAACATCGAGATAAGAACAACACCAATACAACTCACACAGCTCAAGATATAATCTACTGATCACAAAGTAGAAGACATCAAGGCAAAGACAACATCAATAACCAAGTACATCTCGAGGCATATTCTACTGATCACAAAGTAGAATACCACTCGACATGCTCATCAGAAAAGGATAGACATTCACACATTGGCACTACATGTCACAGTGACACTTCATGTCACAAGTTACAACCTTATGCCCGGTTCCAACCTTATGCCTACCCCCGACCTTATCACAGTTCCAACCATTACCTCCGAGAACCCATGTACTTCTGAGTCCAACCTTATGCCTCCGGGAACCGTCGTTCTCCCACCTACAACCACCAAATCATCAACCACCGATTTCAAAGTACACGAGGGTATCGTTCATTTCAATCACACAACCACCAATCACATGAGCCTGAAGCCCAGTTTACAATTCCATAATATCATTTCATGGCCACCACGAGGACCACATCTGTACCTTGGTGATTAATGTCCCATACCATTAATCGTGCCATCCAGGTACAGTCAATACACACACTCATAATTGGAATCAATCAATAGATCACAACAAAGATATGAAACCATACTCAATCAAGGAAGGATTACAATTCGACACCAACGATGATCAACACAAGTTATCATCCACAAGAGGAAAGAACAAACCACACATGCTAGCATTTCAACATCAAACTAGCATGCTTATCAAACGGGTAAACAAAACATAGTTCCGAAGAACATTCAAGACTCATCATGGTTCAACGAATCACAAGGTTGAACACTTAGCACGATTTAAGACATCAAATCCTACATGGATTCCTACC